CCCTGAAATTTGCAGACTCACTTCTTCCTTTATTTCAGGGAAATCATTCCTGGAACCTTTGCCTGTCCCTGAGCAGACCATCAACTTCTAGTACAGAAAATATATGACTAATTTTTAGCCTGATATATTTTAATCATTCTGTATTAACTTGCTGCATCTTAAAGCATTTGCTTTCAAATCAAGTCACAGCTCATTTGCCAACTAGTTAGCAGTTCATACCAGCAACTACTGACATGAAGAGTAAACATGTCTGTTTAGCTCAAGTCCAAACAGATTTCATATCTGCATCCCAATGATGTCAGCGTTTAACCACAGAGAGCAGCAAGGTGTAGTCATTAGAAAGAGGTTCTAGGTGCAGAATACCATTATTTCATCTAAAACTACACAACCTGAATATGGTCCAGAAATACCCCATGTGATGTTCACCTGGGAGTCTCTTAGAAAGAACAACTCTCTGCACTGCACCCGCATCTCATGAGGTTGGCACAGAACTGGTATTTCCACGTGCTCTCCAGGTGAGTTTTATGCATGCTCAAGTTGAACAAACACTGGTCTAAAATAGTATTCTAGAAACAGTAAGAGTTTAAATTAAGGAAATAAATAGTTATAGAAAAATAAAGTAAGGGGTTGGCAGAGGTGACAGAGGGCTCAAACCTACAGGACATGGTGCCTGAACAAGAAAGAGAGAGGATATCGGGGAAGCATGAGAGTTGTGCAGAAAAGATATAAATTCAATTACAGACACACTGAAATTGAGGCAAAGCGACAATAAATATAATATCTTTCACCGTAGGAGAAACGCTTTTGCCTGGTGGTATTTCCAGGAGGGCAACATAGAATTAGAACAACCTTAGCAATGGCAGAGCCAGAGCCACACGGAGAGGCAGGCAGAATCTGTGGAACCAGCAGAGGAACAGCACAGAGGTAGCGGAAGGGGCCATGAGACGGTGCTCTGCAAAGCAAGCAAGGGGGAGATCCCCAGGTACAGGATGGTCAGTACCACTGTGATGTTGTCTTTGTGGAGAGGAGCTGAGCAGCTATTTGGACATAAGACTCTGTCACTCAGAGAACCCCAGTCATAAATATTCTAAAGGAGTTATCACTTGCTATTTTGTCTCCAGATCTGGGAAGACCTTCAAAGAAATCATTTATAAAATATCAGCGCAGATAATGGCCCAGATAGCATGCTTAGACCTGGCTGGACTTCCCATGAGAGAGACAGACCCAGAACCTGTCAGGGAGAGGCTGTGGACTCAGCAGGGTGCCTGCCAGCAGGGAAACCCATTGGAGCTGCGCGAAGCACCAGGAACTGCACTATGAACAGAGGTCTATTTCACATTGACCTTTAGATAATGCTGACAAATAAAATAAACCAACTTTCAAATGGCCATTGACAGGTTTTCTCCAATTTACATTTATTCTAGTAAAATCAAGATGGGAGAAAATAAACTTATCGCCAGATCTGGATTTCCAAACCCAACATAATGAACAGATTGCATCATCTAGTTAGGAAGTACCCTAGCTTGCCATTCGCTATTGAAAATGTCGCAAGTCTATCAGCTGAGTATTTATCAGTTTCAGGATAAGATGCAGCATGTGCAATTGGACTGGAAGGATGTCAGCCATGTGAGCTCAATATCAGCTTTAATATAAAAAAAGATGATTATACAGTCATCCTCAAAGTCCATAATAGGTTCTTGGACACTAAGACTTCAAGTGAAACGACATAACAAAACCAGTTTTAGCCGAGGGTAACTGAAACAAACAAGAGCTAAGTTCCTATGGCATATCTCTGGTCACAAAAACATCACTAAACTTCTAAACAGAGACCCAAACACGTCTAATAGTAAATATTGAAATAAATCGGAGCTATATATACATTTAAGAAAGATTAGGAAAAACAAATGAAATAATTTTTTTCTCATCTGCTGGCTGTAGTTCAGCGTCCAATGTGGCCGAAGCCCCTTCTAGGAGCTCAGGAGGGCCCCACCCTGAACAGACACCCTTCCACCACAGGGCCACTCATACACATCCACACTCCCTCAGACTGGGACAGTGGGAAACGCCCGTTCCCCTCAGGCCACATCTCTGGGATGTGGGAAGGAACCGGAGCACCTGAGAAAACCCAAGCACACCTGGAGAGAATGTGCCAACGCCACACCATCAGGGGCCCTGGCTGAGAATCGATTTTTTTTCTTCTCATCTACATTATAATGAAACAACGTTGAACCAATGACATTAGTCCAGGACTTGCTGTACCCGGGGTGCTCTGATTTAACTTTCCTGGGGCAAGACATAAATAAAAGGCCATGCAAACATCAGTGCTTTGAATTGTAAAAATCAAAATCCCTAATCTTTGTGATCCCTACTGTCAGGAGTTGGGCAGCTCTTTGCAGGTTAGTTAAAACAGACTAGAATTTCAGATAGTCTTTTAAATAGTCCATTTTTATATTTTAATACCTTGGAAATAAAGAAGACACAAATATGCTTAACCATTAAAAATTATATCCTTTAAAAGTAAGTTTTACCATGAATTAAAACTTACTAAAAAAGAAATCTTCTAAATGTATTAATCAGTGCCATCAGATATCAGTGAGAAGACCCAGAACTCGGCTGAGACATGACATTCATTATTACAGAGGTCCTGAAGTTCGAATTACCATTCTAGTCAAACAAACTTCAATGCCGTCTGCCTATCTGGCCGCCAGGAGATCTCTGTGTGTCTTCCCAGAGTCCCTGCGTGTGGTTTGGAGAAGGACTCTCTTTAGGACCCATGTACCCATGGTTATTCCCTGCTGGAAGGGACCTCTACCCACTGCAAACTCCTCTTCCCCTTGAGTTTAACAAACACCTAACTATGAGACATGGAAACTGCAGAAATATTCTATGTACAGAATCTTCCCCCATACTCCTACTTGTGACTTGAGTCAGCAACATCTTCATGTACATACCATAATTCAATCTGTAAATAAGCAGTAGAATAAAACAGCAGAATATAAGGTCCATAGAACAAAAAATGAATCTCTGTGAGACATATTTGCTGAATGGCACATGGTGTATTGTTACGGAATCACTACTACAAACCCGGGGACAGGAGTGGACAGCCTGGAACAGGTGGACCTTAGGCAGCCTGAGCTAATCCCCGGTAGGGAGGGATCATTCCAAACAGACTTGGGAAAGCAAGTTTCTTGAAGGCTGTACTGTTTAAAATGCCACGGATGTTGAGTATAATTTCACCTCAGATCTATAATTTATCTAAGTTGGTCCATTTTGATTTGATTTAGATTTTGTTCAAACATATCATACATTATTTCATTCCTGTGAGCATTCCTGGAGTTTTAAATAGTCATACAGCAAGTTGCTCACTGCCACAGACTAAATGTATGTCTTTCCAAAATTCATGTTGAAGCCCTGGTCTTCAAAGCAGTGCTGTTTGGAAGTGGGCCTTTGGGGAGATAATTAGGTCATGAGGGTGGAGCCCTCATGAATAGGATTAGTGCCCTTATAAGAAGGGACATGGGAGAGATGATCTGCCCCCACCACATGAGGGCACAGCAAGAAGATGGCCATCTGTCAACCAGGAGGAGGGCCGTCACCAGGAAACAAATCGGCTGGCACCGGGACCTTGGACTTCCAGCCTTCAGAACTGTGAAAAATAGATTTCTGATGTTCAGGCCACCCAGTCTGTGGTATTTTGTTACGGCAGACTGAACTAAAAACTAGTCAAAATTAGAGTAGAGGGAGAGGCCCATTAGAAATCATTCTGAAGCTCACCTTCTCATGGCCTTGGATGTGGAACAGGTCAGGATTCTTAGGCTGAGGCCTCAGGCTGTGCTGCACTGACTTGCCCAGGCCTGCTCAGGACCAGCCCATCCCCCATGTGCCACCTCCCTCCCAGGTACTGATGAAGAAATCAACAGCTACTAGCCTTCCATATGCTTTCATCTGTGCCATCCATCAGAACATTTATGAAGAGAAACTAGGAAAACTATTGGAATGTCCAGTTCAATAATTCCACAATCTACCACATGCCAAACATCCGGAGGGTCAACAAGGATAAAAATGGCAGAAATTAAGATGTGGTTCCATCATACGCTCATGACCAAGCAAGGCAGACACTGTCACGGGTGGTAACCACATCGATCCTCTACCAGCCTCACAGAATAGCTTCTAGAAGCTCGCTCAGAGCAGCTGTTTCATTGAGCTTCCTCCATGCTCCTGCCCTTCCCTCCCAGCTCCTTCAGAATGATTCAGAGGCACCGGGCCCCTTGGGTGGTATGATGGTCACATCCTTGCCATAACCTTACCTGGCCACATGGTGGCACTGCCCGCAGCAGACCACTCCTGCATTTGGCCCCTGCAAAGCCAGCTCTTCCCACTCAGTCAGGTCTCAGTTGGAATGTCACCTCCTGGGAGAAGCCTCTGCCCACCAGTGTCAGGAGCCTCCCTGGCTCTCACTGCCATGTCCTGTATTCACCTCCACTGCACGAACGTATCATCACTTCTCCCACGTTTCCTTAGTACTTGGCTTGTGGCCTGCTGTCCCCATGAGAATAGAAGCCTCTAGGGCAGCAGTTCTCAACCTGTGGGTCGCGACCCCTTTGGGGATCGAACAACCCTTTCACAGGGGTTGCCTAAGATATAACAGTAGCAAAATTACAGTTATGAAGTAGCAATGAAAATAATTTTATGGTTGGGGGTCACCACAACATGAGGAACTGTATTAAAGGGTCACAGCATTAGGAAGGTGGAGGACCACTGCTCTAGGATAATGTTTCACACAGCAAAGTCCTCTAACAAATTCTATTGTCTCAAATTATCCAAATTTAAATTTGCCCAAAAGAAGAGTTATTTTATTGGAAGTTAAGGAACAGTAAGGTACAAAATCAGCATTGTTTTTCCAAGTAAAACTATGACTAATGTGAAAAAAAAAAAGAAAAATTAACATTTCTCAAAAAAAGTACAGAGGGTGAGGAAGGAAGAGAAGGGAGAGCCCCTACCTGTGGCCAAGTAGATGGTGTGGATGAGGGCGTCCCTGCCCTGCACCAGGTCGACGGCCAGGTGGGAAAAGCGGCTGTTGTCCTCCATGAAGGAGGGCACTGCAGTCACCGGCTGCACCACCTCGTGCATCAGTATGAACTTCTGAGCATCCTGCAGGTTCCTCTCTGTCAGGTTCACGTACATCCCCTGGTCCACCGTGCCGCACTGCAAGGGAAAACAGGCCATTGCTGGAACCAGCCACCTAGACACCCACTGGTCCTGGCCACCCAGCAGGAGGCTGGTGTAGAAACCGAGGAACTGAACTGCAAACATGCCCACTTCTCCTTTGTCCCTGAAGTCCCCACCCTTAGCACCTCTCATTCTCGATTTGAATTTGTATTTGAGGAGTCTCTCAACTTCATCACAGATGGATTATCAGACGTTGAAAAGAATAAATGAAGCACTACTAACTTTAATATGCACAGCATATGCATAAAAACTCCACATCGCCTGCTGAGCCCCCTTCTATCTGTCTGACAAAGCAGGTACTCAACTAAAAATGCAGCAATCAAATACATCATGCAGATTTATTAGCTTTCTTATTGGAGCAGTGGGTCTATAAGCAAGATACAGATTCCATGGAGATGGACTTAGGCGACTGTAATCTGAAAATTGTGCAATATCATTCTAATATCTTTCTCATGGGCTACAAGAACACTGTGCTAGCCTTAATGCTTTGTGCTCATATGCCAAGAGTTTTGAAACACACAAAAAAAATGTGTTTAGAATCTAGTAAGATGAGAAATAACATGGCGAATTTGCAAAATGAGAGAAAATAAAGAGATAAAAGAAGTGAGAGGGAGGGTGGTGGGGAGAGAGAAGAGTGTGAAGGAAGAAAAGGAAGAAGGAAGTAAAGAAAGAGGACTACAGATTGCGAAAATATATAAAGATGAATCTAGACTATACAGGGAGAAAAAATAGGCCTAAAAATTGCTGAGAATTAAATTCAGAAATGAGTTATGAAGAGGCTGGGAGGTATTACGTAGGATGGATTTTTGGTAAGGCTGAGATAAAAAGGGGGTAAAAAGAGAGCAAAGCTTTCCCGGGACAGAGCACGGAATCAGAATATTACCCCTGACCATTCTCTTTTCTTCATAAACTTTAAACCCTAGTACCAATAAAGACTGATCCACAGCAGAACTTCACATAAGTCAGTTTGATGAAAATAAACTTCCCTGAGCATGCCATCTGGAACTACCATTTATAACATACCATTTCTAAAACTGGGTTTTAGAACAGGTTAGAGGTGCAAAGTGTAATATGGAACTGGCGCTTTCTTCTTCTTCTTCTTCTTCTTCTTTTTTTTTTTTTTTTTTTTTTAAGCAGATGATATTTTTGTAGCTGACTGTAGAATTAGAGAATCTTGGAATTAAATACATTCTGAGTCTGGTCCAGTGCTTAACTTAAAGCCACATCCTTGCAGGGCTACCTCGTGTGCCAGGGGACCACATGCGGTCAGGTGAAGGACTCAGCTTGGCCCCCCAGTAACCATGTGGTCTCAGGTGATACATTGTTTCTCAGCCTCTGCATCTGCCTATAAAGTGGCTAGAAAAACACTGTGCTCACTTCACAGGTCTCTGTGAGACCACCAGAAATAACCATTATAGATAATTTGTAAATTAATTGCAAGTGCTTGCAAATACCAAGGCATGAGACAGTGTGCCAGGCACACCATTTAGTGGTCAATGCATCCGTGTTGTATCAAAACAGCAACTCTATGGTCCATTGAGCTGCAGTGGCCAGAGGGAAATAATGAATAAAGGAAGAAAGGAATTAGTGGGTGAATACACTAGCAGTTGTTACTGAGCCAGAGGGACTGTGCTAGGAGATTTTTAGATCATTATCACATGTAGTAGTAACACTTGGAGGACAGGGACATTGCCTGGTAACTAGTATATTGCAAAATATAAGACAGCTCTACCAGACTTGGTCTGAAGTCTATCCAGGTGAGTTCCAGTCTTGAGAGTGACTTTGTTTGGTGTTTACTCTTCCTAAATCAATGGCAGTACTTAAGGTATAGATAGCAATGTTATCTGCCTGTTGGGTGAGGTTTTGCACACAGGTCCTGTTTGCATAGTGTTTTTTTAAAGATTGGCATGATAAAAATCTGAGGACAAGAACGTGAGGAGCTCTCGCTCCTGAGGCATCTGGAAATCTGGGAGACCGGAGGCCTCTGTGCACCCCTTGTTGATTTTACTCCCGGACCCCAGATCTTACTCAAGTCATTGCCTTCTGATAAAGTGATTTATAATAATTAAAATACATTTGGTCTTCCTGTTTCTGGCACAGAGCTCCTAAAACCTTAGGAATTTCCTAAGTGATGACAGGCATCAAGGTGTCTTTTGTTCTGTTAATGAGGTGACTTTTGGACAGCACCTAAGGATAGGGGCTGGTTGCCAGAGGAAACAACCATGATTGGAGGCCGGGAACCTTCCAGTCCCATCACCCCCTCCTGGGAGGGAAGAGGAGCTGGAGGTTGATTTTAATCGTCAATGGCTGATGATTTAATCAATTCAACCCATGTAATGAAACCTCCATAACATCCCAAAAGGACGAGGTTCACAAAGCTTCAGGTTGATGGACAGGTGGCGGTGCTAGGAGAGGGCATGGCCACTTTGCACCCTTCCCCACACTTTGCCCTGTGCATCTCCTCCACCTGGCCGTTCCCGAGTTACGTCTTTTATAATAAATGGGCAATCTAGTCCTGGGAAATTAATGGAACCCGAGGAGGGGGTTCTGAAACCTCCTATCTATAGAGCATTAGTCAGTAGCAAGGCTGAAGACCTGGACTTGAGATCGGTATCCGAATTGGGGACAGAGGAGCCTACCTATGAGGTCTGATGTTATCTCCAGGTAAATAATGTAGAATTGAGTTGGATTGTAGGACACCCAGAGGGTGTTAAAGAATTGCTTGGAGGGATAGGAAAATCTCCCACACTCTAGAGCTGGGTGACAAAATTGTTATATAAGAACTGGTTTTGAACTACACTCTATATTGTCTCTGTTTCTTTTTCCGTCTATAATGAGTATCTTGCCCAAGGATTCCTTTTCAAATATTTGAGAGCTATTTAAATTAATAGTATATATGGCCCTGGCTGGTTTGTCTCAGCAGTTAGAGCATCGGCCCTTGGACCAAAGGATCCAGGTTCTATTCAGGTCAAGAACAGGTACCTGGGTTGCAGGTTTGATCCCCTGCCCTGGTCAGGGTCATGCAGGAGGCAACCAATTGATGTGTCTATATCACATCGCTGTCTCTCTCTCTCTCTCTCCCTTCCACTCTCTCTAAAATTCAATGGAAAAATATCCTTGGGTGAGAATTAACAATAAAAAAAAAATCAACAATATATATGTATTGATCATACATAACCTAGCAAGCTCTGTACTGAGCTGCAGATTATGTAGTTATAGAGAATCTCTAGTTATATTCTCTGCCTTATAGACAGGACTCCCCTAGTATCTGTTTGACACCCTGGGACTCTGTGCAAAAGGAAAACAATGGAAATAACAAAAACACAGTTATTGTCCTCATGTGACTCATAACCCATAATGGTGGTTGTGCTAACATCTCTGAAAGTAATAAGGTCAATAATTCTAATTTTAAAATATGATACTTGCATTTGTCTTTATTTTTTTAAAGGACAACAGATTAATCCTCATTCTAACTTGCAGGCGCTGGGTGGGTAAGTCCAAGCACCTAGCTTCATGCTGAGGATGCCCGATTTCATAATAACCTGTCCCCCGTCTTGCTACAAATGTGCACCATGTATCAAAGGGTCTTGATGACATGGCCAAGTCCCTTCATGTAGTCCTCCAACACAGCCTCCTCATCTAGTTGGCACCTTTAAGGGTGCATTATTCATTTCAGCTCCATCATTTCTGATTGGTGGAAATCAGAACTGCACAGAAAATTCCAGTCTGTACAACCGCAGCTGAGTCACTAGGTCTGGATACTGTTCCCCGTTAGGAAATGGGTCTGGGTGACTTTGGGGACCAGAGCCTCGCACAGGGCAGGATTCTACAGCATCCCCTACCGTGGTTTCCAGAGTGTAAATCGATAGTTTCTGTGGATTCATTATCATTTTCTATTGAGATCTCTATATTAAACCTTGAAAGATTATGCAATATCCTCCTAATCCATACTTCTTCCTGAACTTGAATCATGTTTCTGTTCCTCTAATTAATAGCTACTTCTAATACGAAAGTGCCGCATACAATTCCAAATGTTGGTAGATAAACAAGAATTAAAAACAGACAGAAACTAACCACTTCTCAATGTTGGTTACTACAAACATAAGGCCCTTTATGCATGACTAGTACAGGAATTCTAAGTTCAAAACCTATTTCACTCTATGCCAGCCTAGATGGTTCCAGGAATGTCAGTAGGAATGCCTAAGCTAGCACGATTCCACACAAGGTAAACCAAAAGAAAACACTTGGACCCTATCTGTACTAGGATTTATACAAAGAACAACCATACTCTATAACTTTAGGTTCCCACAAATCTTAACTTCTACCCAAAGAAGACAAGCTCAGCTAACCCAGCTTCCTACCAGAAGTGAACCAGGTGCCTACAGCTTCAGTTATTACACTGAAGCCTGGACCTCCTCCCATCTCAGACGTGACTAAGCCCTTCAGTGTGACAAGGGCTTTATAAAACCACATGTCCATGGCCTTAGCAAATGATCAGATTTGCTGTGGGCTACAAATATATCCAGATGAAAGAGCTAAAAGTTACCCATTGCCTGAGGCGGTAAAGCTTCACAGTTTATTAAGTCTGTTCTATTTGAAGACTTTTGCAATAGTAGCATCAAGAATGAAAAGTATGTTATAAATATAGTAAGTATCTTTATTAAAATTTTTTAATCTTCAGAAATTACAATGGACTTTCTTAAAGGGAATGGTGTATTTCACCATCAAGATTTTACAAAGGGCCTTCTTTTATAAAGACATGGGTGGGATTTAGATAAAGAGACTCAACGAACAGGCCATGAGTCAGTGTTGGGTTAATAACCACAAAAATCATATATGTTGTCAGGAAAAGAAACTACCACATGTTTGGTCCCCCTCAAAGGTGAGCTCACCTGACCCACAAAAGGAATTTCTCTGTCCAAAACTAAACGTTCTCAATAGCAAGCCTGGGACAATCAATATAAATTGGATCCCTCAATTTCCTGACTTATAAAACATTATACCGTAAACAAAGCACATTAATTGATATTATCACAATTGACTCCTAAAATATGTATGCTTGTGCATCTGTTTTGCTCCTTCCTCATTTTATTGATGAAAATATAAGATGAAAGATGCTAAATAAATTGTCCAAGTAAAACAGTAAATGGTGAAGAGGATGTGTAAACCACCTTTATTATCCTCAATCCAATTCTTTTTTTTTTTTTAAATACTGTTTCAAAACAATTAAAATTGAACAGTCCCTGCCCAAGTCCAAGTAAAGTGCAAGACAGCTGAACGTTCCCATACTCCCAGTTTTGTCAAAGCCAAAGCCTGTATGTGTTGGGATGACTAAACCAACTAGAGTTCAGAGGCCGGGATACACCATTAGGGTGACTGACGGTCCTTCAGTGGGAAGAGGATGGGCGCTGCACCTGAGGACCTGCGTGGGGTTCCAGCTCAGTCACGTCCCCGGTGTCCTTGGCAGGATCGCCTGCCCTGCAGAAGCTGGAGGGGTCAGACACTGCCGCTAGCATGTGAGATGCCACAGCGCAGCACTGAGTGCCATCTAGAACTGGGTGGCACTGAACATACACCCACGGGGAGGAGAGGAAGATGAGCAAATGACAGTTTTGGTCAGAAGAGAGGCCCTTACGGGAAGCCTGCTGTTAGGACATGAAGGTCTGTGTCTCCCCACGTTCCTTATGTTGAAGCCCTAAGCACCAGTGTGGGTATCTGTGCAGATGGGCCCTCCAAGGAGGACCCAAGTGAGGGATTCTGACCCTGTGGGTTCAGTGTCTCTCCAGGGCACTGAAGATAGGCCACCTAAGGACAGGGCGAGAAGGGGGCTGTCCACAGGCTCAGGAGACAGCTCTCGCCAGAAGCAGGACCGGCCAGAACCCTGCTCACAGACTTCCAGCTTCCAAACGATGAGAAGATAAATGTCTTTTGTCCGAGCCACCCCATCTGTGGTGTTTTGTGGTGGCAGCCTAGCAAATTCAGATACCTGCTGATCCACCAAAGAAGAGTGAATGGTTTCAATTCTTTGGGTCTCAGCTTCCTCTGCACATTGGGAGATGGAACTAAATGCACACAGAACCTCTTATTGATTAAACATCATCCTGTAATTTGGAGATTTATGAATGAATGGCCTCCATCTGCTCTCCTTTCTCTGCAGCTGCCCCGTGCCATCCCATTCACCCCACAAGGAAATCTCACCACACTCGCCAATTAGAGCTTCAATTCTGTTTGTACATTTCCACCGCTGTGGCCTGGAGCCCATTCATCAGAGCATCACTCATTAGGGATAAGAGCTTTGGGGACAGAGTCCACCATCATCAGCACTAATTGGAGCTTGGTTTCCCAACCTGCTGCATCAAGCTGGCCTTTTCCAGTCCAGCCTGAGGCGTCACAGCTGACAAAAGGCCCTTTTTGGTCCAGGCCCCTCAGTTGACAAAAGTCTCAGTCCATTCACATGAGCCAAGCCCAGCATGGGTCCATCCACGAGGGGCCGGGGGAGCTCACAGATGCCTGTGCAGACACTGAGGGTTTAAATCATCCCAGCCGTCTCCACCAGGCTTCAGCATGCTTTCAAGGGAGATGACCTATTGAGTGCCCTAATGTCCCCTGAAATTACCTGGAAGTTGGGGTTGGGGTTGGGGTACGGCAGCCAGGCAGAGCGTGAGTTCTCCTGGTACTTGAAGGGTCCATTAAAGGCCTGCGAGATGGCGCTCAGGTTGAAGACGCACACGGCCGACGCAGCGATGCTGTTCCTGGGGGGCCGAGAAGAGCGAGAAGGAAGGTGAGAAAGTGCCGCCGAAACCACCGTCTTCCCACAGACCCTTGGACACCACCCAGTGGAAGCATCCTGTAGAGAACCTCAAGATCCCAGCCTCCTGAACATGCCAAGGATGGAGTGGGAGGCGTGCATGGTACGCCCTGTGATTTCTCTGTATGAGAACAAATCCTTCAGTACAGAAACAAGGCTACTCAGCAGTATGACACTTGTAATCCTGCCGGATGGGATTAATCCGCTCAGCCACGACGGCAATGATGAAGGATTTTGAAGAGCTGAATGTTACGCCTTTTAGGTTCTGGAGGAAAAGAACTTTCTTCGCCAGAGGCTGGCGCCTCTCAGCAGCGGGCGAGGCCCCCTGACCCCCGGCCATCGGGTTACTTTAGGGGGCTGGGCAAGCGGCTGCTGCTTTGTAATCCCCAGATATCTGTGTTTACTTGTAAATCTTGAAAAGATAATCAACTAAAGGCATTTTGCAAAAAGTGCCTGACACACACCCTCATGCATTCTTTCCTTACGTATACTTTAAAAGGGGGAGAGAGACAGATCTGAGAGTGCCCTGATATCCCGAAGCCGCGATTTAGAATCCAGGGTCTGCAGGCAGGCGAACATGCCAGGCACTCAGGAGCTCCGGGACCTCCCACGAGCGTGGAAACAGCAAAATCACTTCTGGTTAAATAAATCTGCATTTTGAGCTCAGCTTCGGTTTTAAATTTTCTTGTTAATAGTCGTAGCCAATATAAGTCAATTAAGTTTTTTCCTCAATCAAAAGAAATTTCACAGAAACTCTAAAGCAGAAATATCCGCCTTACACTTGGTTCATTTGACAAACGCAATCTAGTTGCTGGACGCCATTCTAGAGGCTTCACAAATCCCAATTCACAGGATCGTCTGAAGGGAAGGGACAGTCGCTGGTAAGAAAGGCAGGGTACAGTTAAGCCGACACACCTGCCCTAAATCACCCGGCTACTAATGAGGAACTCGGACATCAGCCCCGGGTTGTCTGGCTCCAAAGAGCATGATTGTGAACTCTTTGTGAGGGCTCTGGGCGGACTGTTGAAACCACCTGTGGGAAGGGGGGAGCCCCGAGGGTGGAGACTGGGTCTCCTCTGGCAGCTCCAGCACAGAGCGGAGAGGGCGGGCAGCAGGCCGATTCCCACAGCTGGTGAACAGCGTGACAGATGCTAAATGTGCACCTATTCGTGTGGCTGTATTTACTCTTTCTTGCTTCCCCTCAGAAAAGAAGAATGTGAGACGTCAAACAGCCACTGAATACGTGGCTGGGCTTTAGGAAGAGCAAGACAAGGACTATGTGAGAGCAGGAACAGCGGCGTGCGCAGCAGGATGTCTACCAGGGACCAGGCGAGGCCACCTTGGACGAGGAAGAGTGCTAATAATGATAACATCCCCGGGCTGCTCTGCTCAGCCCTTGATAAGGGTTACCTTATTTCTCACAGGGGCCCTACAGAGGCTGAGACCAGCCCGACTCTACAGACAGACAGAGGCACAGACACAAGTCACAGGCTGAGGAAAGGTAAAGCCGGCCGTGCACCCGCTTGGCATGGGGCCCCAGAGCTCCTGTCCACGATCCCACTGCTGTGCTCCCTCCTCCTGCAGGCAGCCCATTGCTCAGTTCCCTGCATTCAGTCTCTCAGAACAGGCCTGGGCTCTGTGTCTGGGGTCAGCCCAGAGTCTCCCTGGATGCCCCAGTGGCAGCCAGTCTGGGCATCTGTGACAGGTATTGGGGGACACTTTTTCTCAAAACCCCTGGGGAGCGGAGCACCATTGGTCTCACATACGTGTGCACACACACACACACACACACACACACCCTTTGACCCTCCCTCTGGTGTTTTACGTTCTGTGAGAGGGGTCAGTGGGGAGCAAGGGCACAGCTATCATTATGGCCTCTCCTCTTCATCTTTTTGGGATAGGCCTGCCTTCCAAAATGATATATGCACCTTCACCTCCCCATCCCTGCAGGTAAGTGAGGCCAGTCTAGGTCTAGAGCATTGTGACCTTGTGTACGAGTCTCCTTAAAGCAGGGATCGGTACTCATAAGCCCATTTGGCAGACAGACCATCAACCATGTATTGCAACCTCATCTCCCTCAGAAGTCATGGTCATGCTATGGCCGTCATTTCATGCTAAGTATTATTAATTAACTTGTTCAGAGTCCAGGCAGGTAAAAGTGGAGGTAGGTCCTCCCTGGTGAGCCCAACAATACTGGTACATCAAGTTGGCTTCTTTAGTCTACTGAAAGCCGCTGGGAGCAAAGCAGAGATGATCCTCCCAGGTCTTCATCTCCTAAGGAGGGAAAAGACAGCAAAGACTTCACAGTTCTCCACCCCATTTAGATATCCCAGAAAACACAAGTAAAACCTTCAGAAACACTACTGCAATAATATGCCGTGTCCTGCAGTCCAACTCATGCCCACAGGATTGAGAAAACCACTGTCACACGGAGGAGGGAGTTAGTGACCTCTCTCTATCCCCACCCTATTGCAAAACCAGACCTTGACAAATACACAGAACCAAACCAAAACTATACTATGAGCAAAAGCACCAGAAAGCTTAGCCCCAGCATTTTACAAGCATCTGCTTCACAGACAGGAAATAACCGGCTACCTCTGATCATTTCATTTCAGTTTGGAACAAGTCTTGTCATGAATATGGTCATCGGTGGAGAAGGTAAGATCAGGCGGAGACATGAAAGGGGGCAGAAGAAGGACACACTGTGGGATTAGAGATGGATATACTGGAAAGTTGTTCCCAAGACCCAGTGAGAATAAGTATATGGCAGAGAAAGGGAAGATGCAGAAATTCTGCCTCTACCAGTATAGATGCTTAGTACTGGGTGATTTCCCTGATGCTGGGTGTTTACAACACAATCAAGTAGTCTGGAACAGTATTAAACTTATTTTTGTGAGTAGCTAAATTAACCATTCACCATCTTGGAATGGCCCAGGCACAGTACATATATAACTTTTTAAATTGTTCATTTTTGCCCAGAGCCAGAGGAATAAACAGCTAACTAAGCCAAGTTCCCATTATGTTTAATACCGATGTCAACTGAACTGAACATTCATTTCTTGCAGCCTACACTATTTCTTAAAAAATATTTTAGAAAGCAAATCAACTTCAAAAACTATACTTATCATGGAGGGAAAATAACCTCTGAGGTTGAAAGCCAGATTTACAATGAAGATCATTATGGTGGAGTAGGGATAGGGTAAAGAGGCATCCACTATATTCTTATTTTTCTAACAATGTCAGAAAGAAGCCTCTTCATAGAGTAAACATTATCATCAAGGAAAAGATCAGAAGGGAAAGAACAATAGGGAGGTAAGATGCAGATAAAATGACTCTTTAGAAATGCAGTTCATGGGCAGGCTTCAGAAGCAGAGAGATGAAGAAGGAAAACGACTTAGAAGCTGAGCAGATGTCATAGGGGGATGGACGGTCCCAGAACAACCAGACTGAGGTTTCCTGGGATGCAGGGCTCTCTCCAACTCCAAATCCAGGACAATCCCAGACAAACCCAGATGGTTGGTCATCACACTCCACGTATCAGCACTTTCAACACATCCTGATTCAGATAGTTTACTCTGGAGACAAATATTGGGCTTTTGTCCAAACTGTTAGGTTAACAGTTTAAAGAATTCAAAGGTGATCCAAACCAGAACCCATGCTGCCAAGTCCTCCTCCTTAAGCCAATGTTGAGAAAAGTGGAGGCTGGTGGGAGGGCCAGCTCTGATTGCTGGGGCTGGTGTGGCCATGTTCAGTCTATCACAGCACATCAGCTAAGACTGGAGTGAATGAAAGATGAGAAAACTTCATGTGCTTTATCTAGTCCAAATATTGTCAGTTCTGAAGCTAAGAGCATCTCCCCACAAGAAAAAAAAAAAAGCTATTATTTTTTCAAAAATATTTTAAAAGCATAACCATCATTTTAGAAATGCCTGCCTGAGATAGCCATTTACTACAACAATGGCTTAAAATGCAACTCTGGGAAAGTGAGAATGTGCATTTCATATATGAGCAGCAGTTTAGTCAGAGTTACATTATCTCAAACATCAGAATTTTCCAGACAACAGTGCTTACATTATGCACAAATACATAATGTGCAAATAATAATAAAAAAAAAAATCTAATGTATACCAGTATTTCAGAAAGGACCAAGAGCATACTGGCAAATCGGGAAGGACACATTTACAGGAGAACACTCGGGTGCTACTATTACAATAAGGATGGAGCCAAACCTTTTCAATTAGCTTTCTTTTCCTAATACCAGTCACAGAAGTCACAGATCTCGACGTAACATTTAATTCATAGTCAAAAAAAAAAAAAAAAAGTTTTGACTGTTGGCCCAGTAAAATAAGACGGACTTCTTTTTAAAGCAACTGTCAAACCAGAACGGTCAAAGCACAACGGGTTCATTCAGAGAGAGTAGAAAGCAGGGAAGGCAGTTCTCTCCGCTACGTACACGTTGGTGGTGAAGATGCCGTAGAGCAGATCCAGCTCGGGCAGGAAGAACGTGCTCTGCAGCTCGTTGTAGTAGAAGGGGACCTCGCCGGGGCGGGAGCAGTTCAGGCGGGCCTTCATGAAGGTGGTCCAGGTGTCCTCCAGCAGGAAGCGCCCGCCGATGTCGTTCTTGCAGACCCGCGCCGCTCTGGAGAACACGGTTTTCCCGCAGTCGTGCTCCACGGCATTTTCTCGGAAGAAGAAGTAGGTGAAATTCCCGATGTCATACGAGGACACAAAGTTTGGTTCTGGAAGGAATAGGAAAGAAGAAAAGTCTCAACATTGACATGGTATTTCTTTAGTCGTGCCTGCTCGTTATTTTTTCCGAGGAGACTCGGTTTGGGGTAGACGTCTTACAGGATGAATGGGGGGGCCGCCCTGTGTGCATCTTTAGAAAGAGAGAGAAAATAAGATTAAAATGGGATTAAGAAAAAACAGGTGAAACAAAAGCAGGTTTACGGTTGTGAGTACACGAAACACTGAGTCCATTCTTGCATTATTATTTATTAGTTATTGTGTTATTTTCCATACAAACAACAGTAAACTTACTATTGTCCCACCCTGTATAGAAGTCTATATCATGTTTGTAAAATGAGACAAAATTCTTTAATTTTACTAATCACACATCTATGATTGCTATAATTTATGTGCTTTTAATAAGGACTTTAAAAATCTTTCTCATTTATGAAAACTGAAATTGGAAGGTTAGTGTCCTGAATTAGCTTTAGCAATTCCCGTTACTATGGTAACCACATAACTGTGAGGATTAACCCTTATTTTCTCTTTTCTGAGTTGCTGGAGAATCAATTTAGAAAAAGACAGTGTATTGAGACAGAGTCACTGACCGAAACTTTTGGTCTCATAATTAGCTTAAAAACAGGGATTTAGAAATGGCACAAGTCTGACAAAAACTTTACATACTCACTAGGCTAATAAGGAATTTAAGGCTTATACAGATTGTCCACTGAATTTTATATATAGCACTGAAGTGTTGTATTTATAACTCTCTGTTCAAGCCCATTAGTAATACAGATGATACCCTTTCAGACACAAATATGCTCTAATAATTATCTTAAAAATTCTAATAAACATATTTGATTCTTATTATTTCCTCTATTGCTGGGAGGTTTTCATTTAATCATCAAGTATTTGAATTTTATGGTGCAATTAGAATAACATAGCAATAACTTTTTGTGTTCAAAATTAATGGAAAGTTACACACCGCTACTATGCACAAGAACACATTTCAGGGGCAATTAATTTGGGGGCACAATTCAATTGGCCTTGTACTTTGCCAGATTTCATCAGAATGCACCAATAGACATGTTATTGGTAGGACAAATGAAAATATGCTTGGCTACAACATGACCCATTAATGTTATGAGTAAGACACACGGAAGGTTCACCTAAGACCTGAAACGTAGACCCTGATCCAGAAGCTGACACGATGCTGGCCTTGAGCACACTACTATTCTGTCCAGAAAGACTGCTGCTAGTCTTCAGTCAAGGCATACCTTCAATGCCCTTACAAAATGTTCCCATTCAATTCAATTTTGCATTCTAACAATGTAACAAATATTCTAAATTACATATGTAATGTGCTTTTCTCTACAGTTCATTATATTGTGAAGTTGTTTAAGAATGTCAAGTAATAGAATGGGAACTGGATAAAAAAAAAGTATTTTAGTTTATAAACAGCTAAACATACTAATAGATAACTGTTGCTTTAACCTGAAGTGGATATTAGAAGATGAAAAGATAAAATTAAAAACACTCTGGACTACATTAAAACATGAGATGGTAGTTAACTATATTTACTGTTACAACATGCTTTTCTATCCTATAAAGTGGCTCACAAAACAGGAGGCTACATATCTCTGACTTGTGCTTTTTGGAACATAAAGCAAAATATTGGGGGAAATTTTGAAAGTGTGTTCACTATGAGTCTCCATAGAGAATGACTTCTGAAGCACACCCCAAAAGCCAAGATGCAGAACAATTACAATTTATATTTGGTTTATAAAGAAACTTTACACCTATGGGCCTAATTTTAAAGAGAAGGTGAAATCGTTTCAGAATAGGTCCTGTACTCAGGCTCCTATATCGAGGCTACAGTTTGATCGTTGTACTGAAAACACGTAAGAAAACATCATCATCAATAACAACAACAAACCTCAACTGAAAAAGAGAAAAGAAAGCCGGTCCAGGACTACCTATGTCTAGCTCAGGACTATGTGAGCAGCACTTGTGGATGAGGAGTGAGGCAGAGACCACCAGCTTCATCAAACACCCTCCCAACCACTCCTTCTGCTAGTAACTGGGGAACAAACAGCATGCAACACACATAGTAAGTATCTCTATATGTAGGAAGTCTCAAGCAGGAACATGAGAAGCTACAAAGTAAAAAGATCCATCATGGTTTCTTCCAGCGCAAGGTTAGGTGTGTATTTAGAAATACCTGTGCTGATGCTTGGTGCCAGGCTCTGCGCTCAATGCTTCACATTCACACACTCATTCAGCTCACAGGAATCACAGAAGCAGGTGCTGGGTCATTCTTCCCATTTCACAGATGAAGACACTAAAGCCCAGAGGTTTCATCATCTGTCCAAATTCACACAACCAGCAATGGGGGACAGGGCTGAGGGTAACATCCTGAATCCAGACAGTCTGACCTCACAGTCTATACACTTACCTTTACGCTACACTGAAAAACATAATGGATTGCACGAGAACAATTGATTACATTAACAATACTCAAGAAGAGGATTTGGGATTCTGAATAATGCACTAGAAATTGGAGCGATGAGCAGGTTTCCAGCGGATCAAGATGAGGAGGGTTTCATAACCAACTAAACGAGAAGATCGATGTCCAGCTGACACATGACTCCCTGCAGCTTTTAGAGACACCGGGAATGACCCAGAAGGAAGAAAAGGCAGGAAGAAGGAGCCAGCAATCCAAGCAAGGGCTCATAAAACAAGAATCTTGTTGGGAAAAGACTGCCCCAACCCCAGAGATGGTGGCCACCACAGCCCCTGAGTGCCTGAGAGTGGCTGTCTGGGTGTCTATTTCCTGTTCAATGTCCACTCCACTGAACAACTTCATTCAGGTTTCTCATGTAAGCCGGATACAGAGCAATGTCAAGCAGATCGGCTCGCTGCTTCCTTTTTCCACAGGGAACCCCTAATATCTCTCCAAACCACCCTGAACCAATCTTACACAGAAATACTCAAATGCAATCTCTTGCTGAGAAAATAGGGGAGAATGTGTGCTTATTATGTAGTGTATGCTGTTCTTCAGTTCACCACACATTACAGGTCATTTTAGGGGCTCGACTTCATTTGGACACACAGCCTGCCACCCTGCAGTGGTCCTTCAGGACGCTGAATGGTCTCTGACTGAGTGACCTACTCCAAAGTCAGGAAGTTTGGAAAGCAGAGCCTTTTGAAACTCAGCCCACATCCTGTTTCTCTTCCAAAGACAGCAAAAAAAAAAGCAGGAATAATTATTAAATAGGCAGGCAAATATCTCTTGCATATAGAGATATAAATCTGGAGGCTGGGGACATTTGATTCTCACTAGGCAGGATAATAAGATGCACATTGTTTCTCTTACATTATTCAAGTTCTGTCCCTGGTTAAAATGCAACTCACCACCAACCAGTATCTGTCACTCCTGAGTGAACTGAACAAGTCATAAATGAGGCTCTGCTTGATTATCTGCAATGAATGTGAGTGTGAATGGCAGATCCGAGGGGTCCTTTAATTATTATTATTAATATTATTATTATTATTAGAGCTACAAAGGAACAAGAGGCGTGCTGCTAATTCAAAATAAAACCAAACATGAGCATATGACAGCTTATTACAAATATATGTATGGGGCTGCCTTACCTCATGCTTGTCCAACATATTGAGTTATGGGTTACAGTACTCTACTAAATATGTCATGTTATCAAAAGAATCATGTTTCGTGATATAAGAACTTTGATTTCACACCTTAACCTCCATAAAACTGACCAAGCAGAGACAAGTACTGACACGAGACCCACATATAAGTGAACCCGGGGAACCCAAACGCATTGCAACATTTCTGAGAAGATTCTGACCACGTATACCACCAGACGCTGAACATCCAAATGCACCCTTTCATCCCACACTCTTTCCATTCCAAGGCCACCGCGTCGGCCTGCAGGTGCACCAGCCTCAATGGTTCAGTTGCATGATCGACCAGGTCACTGACAGGCTTTTGATAGGAGGAACATATTTGTAGACATTGATGAGAATGGATATGAAAGACCAAAAGAAATTCCAGTTTTCCAAATCTACATCTTACTAGAATCAAAATCTATCATAAATTATTTTGCAAACAAAGGCCACCTTGTGATATCTTGTCACAGGTTAGCCAATGCCTGGTAAGCAGCCCGAGTGTGTTGTGGCTCCACCCACACCCAGCCTGAAACCCTGGGCTGGACCACTGATATCCGGAACGTTCCTGCATCCTGTTAGATGCTTCAGGGCACGGAAGACCTACTTTGCTGTAGAGATTTAAGAGATATCTACATAGTAAAATTCTAATGATTGGTGGATATAATTATTATTTCAGAATTTACTTTTGATTCCCCTTTTAACAATTTGTATTTAGTAGAAATTCATATAATAATAATATTAATAAAACATACATATATTAACCTTAAATGTGATCAGAAATTAAGGACCATAAATACAGCCACACATGCCGAGTTTGTAAAACAGCAAGCTATTCCACCACAAGAAAAGAGTTAACGGAAACCATCTCTGCAGGCGACTCCCGGTTAGCCAGTGACTTTCTGTTCCCTAATTTTTGCCGTCAGTCACTACCAAACCATTCCCACATACATTGTTCGAGTTCAGACCCCATCCTATTGAGCAAATTGTGTCCCTCATCACAGCTACACGAAAATGTGCTGCAGAGGCTAACAGAGTAAATCTAATTTCATCTAGATATTTATTATGAGTGGACAATGAAACTAAATTAAATTACTTTAAGTTAAAGGAGGTTTGAAAGCCATTAATGCACTTCAAGTCCTTCCCCTAATATTTCTAGAACCAGATAGACAGACAGATATACACTGTGTGCGTGCGTGCGTGTGTGTGTGCGCGCACGACATACAGACATAAAGCACTGAGGTGTACATATGTATATAATGGCTCAATACTTCCACCTACTGGCTCTGTGAACTTAGTCAAGTTATTTAACAGCACAAATTCC